TCACATTTCTTTAACAAACTTATTTTAATCATTCTCTTAAACAAACACATTGAACCAACATTTTTATAATCACTTTCCAAATTATTCCACAATCTTATTCCTTGAAYTGAAGTGCATCRGTCCTTCAAATTTGTTCAATTTTAGGTTTTAAAAACATCTTCATTTAATGTTAAGGCTTCATAGGTCTTTTTTTTCTGTCAATTGACGATAAACATAGGATTTGAATGTCTGTTTTGAAGAACTACGTATGTCCAACAATTATATGATAAAAAACATGCCATACTTCCTGCTTTAGTTCGCTTGTATCCAATCAGATTTGTTGGTCGTATCGTCTTCGTCTACGTCAGCACGTACAGGAAGCSTGTGACAAATTGAGCGTCTGTTTCTGCAGGTAGTTTGAGACTGAAATATTGTACTTTTGATGAGAAATTGKGGCTTTTAAGGTTAAGTTTTAATTTGAGTTCATATATTGTATCCTCAAAATGGTTATTTAACTTTCGGAAGTTATCATAWGCAAGGCTATTTATTTATATTTAGGCGTTATAGTAGCTGTCACGTCTAGCAGCTTTAGCTTCTCTGAATTAATAAAAAAAAGCTGTATTGTATTTTGTTGTAGGTATTCATGGTATAACATATCTTTAAAAGTTCAGTAAGTGTGAAGGACATCRCAGAGTTTTAATCAGATTTTCTGTCCGTAGACTAAGTCCAGTTTCAGTGAGTWTGAGGCATGGAGCATCAGAATTTGCCCAAAGTGGTTCTTTTGGCCTGCGGGTCCTTCAACCCCATCACCAACATGCACCTGAGAATGTTTGAACTGGCTCGAGATTATCTGGAAGACACAGGTTGGSTGAAATGAAAGTAAAATCTTTTACAGTGATTTCTATTAACACGAAGTTTTGTTCTTTTCCATCATTTTATTTGTCTAAGGTCAGTACAATGTGGTGAAAGGAATCATCTCTCCTGTGGGCGACGGCTACCAGAAGAAAGGTTTGATTGAGGCTCGTCACCGTGTGGAAATGGCCCAACTGGCCACAGAAAACTCAGGATGGATTACAGTGGACTCCTGGGAGAGCCTGCAGCCCGAGTGGACCGAGACGTGTAAAGTGGTTCGGTAAGTTTAGAGTTCCTCTTTGACACGTAGTCATGTGCACTACCAGCATAATGAGGCAATACTAATAATCTACCAGCACATACCATCAATACAGTTTCTGGACATGAAGTTAACCTTTGAGCAATTGGGACCTTTCCCACAAAATCCTTGAAATTAAACTGGATCATAAAGTTTGGAATGCAGATTATTTCCTTGTTAATCCATTTGTTAAAGCTTTGTTTGTCCATGTCATACAACCGTTGATTGTTGTAGATTTTTAACAACACAAATTAAGTTAAATTACTATATAAACTCAGTAAATCATGTGACAAAGACCTGTATTATTTCCACGTGGAGATAAAGAAACCTTTTGTCCTTTTACTTGTATTTTCTGTAACAGATTCAGTCCTGCTGCTGTAATGGGCTGCAGTAAACTAACTAATGAACAGCAGGACTGTTCAAGGTAGTGCAGGATAATCATCGGTGTGGATTATCAAGGCACCACCCAGAACTTTGCACCAGTAATGCTAGCAGGATAAACAAGTTGAAATAATTTTATAATGTAGAATGATTCTGCAGTAGTTTCTTTTCTACAATCGTAGTTCAAAGTTTTTTTTTAACTTTTTAAAGTATGTGCTGGTGATTTCGAGTTTGATTTAAGGACTCTGTAAGACAAATGTTTCCAGTATTCTTTTGTAAATCTGTTTGTTTGCCTGCACACAGGCATCACTATGAAGAACTGGTTGAAGAAGAGCATAACACCGGTGTCAAGAGTGCAAAAAAGAGACGTCTGGAGAAGAAATATATTGACAGTTCAGCTCATCCTAAAAAAAAGGGTGAGCCATGAACACACATTTATATTAATGCTTTTATGAGGAGCTTCATGACTCATTCTCTTATTTCAGAAAGAACAGGGGTGTGTTTTTTATTTGGACTCCAGTACAAAAGTACTGTATTCAGAAGTTGTTGAAGGTGTGGATGTTCTGAGAGTAATCATGTGTGGCGATTGACAGTCAACCACGTGACTCAAAAGTAGTCAAGGTACAAAGTATTGCACCAAAAGAGGTCAAAACTTAAAGGTGCAAAGGTCCAAATTTAAGGAAGGGGCGCGTCTTCAAAAAGCAAAACAAGTCCAGTTGCTTCAGTCTGAAGTATGTTGGTGTGTTGCAAGTCTGGCTTCTCTCCATTGGCTTCATTTTAGGATAAATTTTAAGATTTYATTGCTTACTTTTAAAGCTTTAAAAGGTCTGGCCCCATCCTACCTGTGTGATCTCATTAACATCCACACTTCAGTTAGAGCACTTCGGTCATCCAACCAGTTCCTCTTAGATGTTCCTAGATCTAGGCTAAAGTTTAGAGGTGATCGGGCCTTTGGTGTCCAAAACTCTGGAATGATTTACCTCTTAGCATACGGACTGCTGAGACTGTTGAGACTTTTAAATCCCTGCTTAAAAC